TGGTGGTTGGAATGGGTGATGAAGGTGCCCTAGAGAGTAGCTGGGGGGACCCGCAGGGAGGCCTTAAGACCCCAAAGAGCCATTGTGGGTTCTGTATGGCCAGTGGAGGACCTCGAAGGTCCTTTCAGCCAATGGGAGATCCTCAGAGGCTCTGCCTGGCTGAGGGGAGGGAGGCGGACGGGACCCCGAGAGAGGCTGGGGGGGCACACTGAGGATGGGGGGCTGCTGTCCTGTGTGCGCTGGAGCAGGTCCCTCCCCCGCTACCCAGGAAGAAGAACTTTGGGATCAGCTACCTGGGCCAAGAGAAGCAGGGCCAGGAAACGTACCTGTCGCTGCTGTCGGACTGGGACCTGGCCACAGCCTTCGCCAGCGCCTCCAAGCCCTACCTGCAGCTCCTCGTAGACATCAAGCCTTCAGAAGACAGTGAGTCAGTGTGGCCGGGCTAGGGACCCGGAGCCCTGTCTCACAGCCCCCTGCTCTAACCACTAGGCTCCACACCCCTCCCAGGAACCCTGGTTTCCAATGCCCCTGTTCTAACCCCTGAGACTCTGAGGCTGTGTCTACACTGGCCGTGTGTTCTTGCGCAAGTAAACTGACGTCCTGCTGTATGAAATCAGGGCTTCTTGCGCAAGAACTATGATGCTCCTGCTCAGGAATAAGCCCTTTTGCGCAACTGTTCGTGCACAAGAGGCCAGTGTAGACGGTAACATGAATTTCTTGTGCAAGAAAGCCCAATGGCTAAAATGGCCATCAGAGCTTTCCTGCGCAAGAGAGTGTCTCCACTGGCACGGATGCTCTTGCGCAAAGGCACATGCCAGTGTAGACGCTCGCTTGCACAACTACTTTAACGCAAAAACTCTTCTGCTAAAGAGTTTTTGCGCAAGATCATGCCAGTGTAGACGTAGCGTAAGAACGGCCAGACGGGGTCAGACCGAAGGTCCATCTGGCCCAGTGTCCTGTCGGCCGGCAGTGGCCAGCGCCAGGTGCCCCCGAGAGAGAGAACACAACAGGGAATCCCCTCGTGATCCCTCCCCCGTCACCCATTCCCAGACAGATGCCAGGGACACCATTCCTATCCAGCCTGGCTAATAGCCATTGATGGGCCTAACCTCCATGAATCCATCTAGCTCTTCTTTTAACCCTGTTACAGTTCTAGCCTTCACCGCATCCTCTGGCGAGGAGTTCCACAGGTTGGCTGTGTGCTGAGTGAAGAAAAACTTCCGTTTGTTTGTTTTAAACCTGCTGCCTGTTCATGTCATTTGGTGACCCCTAGTTTTTATATTGTGGGAATAAGTAAATAACTTTTCCTTATTCACGTTTTCCCCCCAGTCGTGATTTTATAGACCTCTCATTTCCCCCTCAGTCGTCTCTTTTCTAAGCTGAAAAGTCCCCGTCTTTTTAATCTCTCTTCCTATGGGGCCCGTTCCCTTTTCTGAACCTTGTCCAATGCCAATAGATCTCTTCTGAGATGAGGGGACCACACCTGAACGCAGGATTCGAGCTGTGGGCGTCCCGTGGTTTTATAGAGAGGCAAAAAGATATTTTCTGCCTTATTCTCGATCCCTTTTGTAACGATTCCTACCATTCGGTTTGCTTTGTTCACTGCCGCTGCACACGGAGGGGATGTTTTCAGAGACCTCTCCACAATGTCTCCAAGATCCCTCTCTTGAGTAGTTGTAGCCAAGTTAGTCCCCATCCTGTTGTACGTGTAGATTGGGTTTTCCAGTGGGCATCACTTTACCTTTATCGGCATTACACTTCATTTGCCGTTTTGTCACCCAATCTGCTCCCTTCCTGAAGCCATGGAGGGAACCCAGGAGTCCTGGCTCCCAGACTCCCCCCTCCCCTTTCTGGTCTAACCCACTAGACCAGGGGTCTCAAATTCAATTTCCTTAGAGCCAGTCCTCAAATGCCCCTGTTGGGCCAGTGGACACCCCCCTGTGGCAGTGGCTCTGTGGGGGTGGGAGGTCCCTGCATGTGTCTCCACCCTCCCCTGCCATGCATCGTCCAGCCCCACCTGCAGGCCTCCCCCCTCCACCCCCCGTATATCCTCCAGCGCGGCCGGCTGCCCCTGGGCAATTTCAAATGCCCTGGGGGCCCTGCTGCCAGCAGCTAGCTCCGCGCTGTTCCCAGTCTGTCCCTCTGCCTGCTGAGGTGTGTGCGGAGCTGTCCTGCCCCCGTGGCCTTGGGCAGGCTGGGAGGCATGCGGTAGGAGGAGGGCGGGGCTTGATGGAAGCGTACGGACACTCCTCCCCGGGGCCACGGGGCCCGGACTGTGGGACTGCCCATGGGCCGCGAGTTGAGACCCCTGCACACGAGCCGGCTGACTGGCCTGTGCTGCTCTCTCAGGCCCGCTGCTGGAGGACTGGGACATCATCAGCCCCAAAGACGTGATCAGCACCGACCTGCTCCTGGTGGAGAAGCGGTCCCTGGCGGCGGCCGCGCTGCCTTTCACCCAGTCCATCATCTCCCAGGTGGGCCGGGGCGGCTCGGCTAGGCGGCATGCTGAGCTCCGGGGGTGGGACAGGCTTGGGAAGTCCCGGCTCCCAGCCCCTCCACTCTGCCTACTAGGCCCCACTCCCCTCATACCGCCGGAGGGCGCAGGGGTCCTGCCTCCCACTCTCCTGCATGCTGTTCCTGGCAGCTGGTCACAGCTGAGTCGCCCGGTGCTAGGAGCATCTCCTCCCTTGACCTCCCTCCTACGCCTGCCCCTCCCCCATTGTTCTGGGGGGGGATCCTGCCCCCGGCGTCTTGCCCTGAGCTGGCCTCGGTCCGCAACCCCGTCTCCCTGCCCAGGTGGGCCGGACGCTGTCGAAGGTCCAGCAGGCCCTGAGCTGGTCCTACGGGGAGGACGCGAAGCCCTTCAAGCCGCCGCTGAGTGACACCGAGTTCCACACCTACCTGAACCACGAGGGGCAGCTGACCCGGCCGGAGGAGCTGCGGCTGCGCATCTACCATGGCGGGGTGGAGCCCTCGCTGCGCAAAGTGAGTCTGGGGCTCCGGGATTCCCTCCCCAGCTCTGGGAGTAGCGTGGGGATGGGCCGAGGAGGGGGCGGGTCACCCTGGTGGAACGCAGGGATGGGAGATGTCGGCTCATTGAATAGTCGGGTAACCTCGTGAATTCGTAGCGGTTAGTCGACTAGTCTGCAGTCCCGGGGGTGGGGCCGGCAGTCAGTGCGCTCCGGCCCCACCCCCGGGGAGTCCCCTGCCACTCCGCCAGTGCCCCAGGGTGCTGGGCGGGAGCTGGCCCGCAAGGGGAGCCAGCTTAAAAACCAACCTGCCCCTCTGCATTGCTGCCTCTGTATCAGTGCGGGAGGCAGCAGCCCCTGCCCAGCGGGGGGTCTGAGCTCCCGGACCCATCGCGAACTGGAACAGAGCCAAGCTGCCTGGCTCCTAATACACTTGAAATGCAGCGCCGAGGTGGGGAGGGTCCCGGACCCAGTGCGAGCCGGCACTGAGCCCTGCTGGCTGACTGACTGGGCAGGGGCGGGGGATGCACGTGGTCCAGTGTTTCTCAACCAGGGGTTCCAGTCCCCTCCGGGCACTCGACAGCAGTCTGGGGGGGACGTCAACACACCTGACGTGGGGAAACCGGAATTAGAGTTTGACGTTTGACGGCGCTTTTGTATTTTTGTCCTTTTTACACCCAAAAATGTCATCGCCCACCCGGCTACGGCAAAGTTGTTTAAACAAATGTGTTGCACTGGGAGAAAAAAAATGGGGTGTGTCCAAAACCTGGGGATACTGGGGGTACTTCGAATTGGTTTTTAAAGGGTTAAAAAAGGTTGAGAAGGGCTGGTCTAGTCGATCGCATTGAGCTAGAAGCCTCGGCGTATCGGTTAAGCGGCTCCACTATTGCGTGCCTCGTGGGGGGCGGGTGAAACGGGCTGCCGGGCAGTTGGCTGGCTGGGTGGGGGCTGCCGTGTGCCGGGCCGGTGGTGGGGGGTCCCCCGGGGCTGACGGCTCTCTGCCCTCAGGTGGTGTGGCGCTACCTGCTGAATGTCTACCCGGATGGGCTGACGGGCCAGGAGCGCATGAACTACATGAAGCGCAAGACGAGGGAGTACGACCAGCTGAAGGGCCAGTGGGCAGAGCGGGCCAGCCCGGAAGACCTGGACTTCATCCGCAGCAACGTCCTCAAGGACGTTCTGCGCACGGACCGGACCCACCCCTACTACGCCGGCTCGGAGGACAACCCGCACCTGCTCGCCCTCCACGACCTGCTGACCACCTACGCCGTGACTCACCCGCAGATCTCCTACTGCCAGGGCATGAGCGACATCGCCTCGCCCATCCTGGCCGTCATGGACAACGAGGCCCACGCCTTCATCTGCTTCTGCGGCATCATGAAGCGCCTGGAGGGCAACTTCCAGGTGGATGGCGAGGTGATGTCCCTCAAGTTCTCCCACCTCCGGCTCCTCCTGCAGCGCTCCGACCCTGAGTTCTTCGCCTACCTCCTCTCCCGGGGCGCCGACGACTTCTTCTTCTGCTACCGCTGGCTGCTGCTGGAGCTGAAGCGGGAGTTTGCTTTTGAGGACGCCTTGCGGATGCTGGAGGTGACCTGGAGCTCCCTGCCGCCGGACCCTCCGGAGAAGGAAGTAGAGCTGGTGGGGCCGCCGGTCAGGCCCGGGGAGGGCGGCCAGCCGGTCCGCCAGCGCCACATGCTGCGGCCCACCTGTAGCTTCGAGGCAGCTGGGGACCGGCCCTGCCTGGAGGAGCCCGGGGCCCATCCCGTCTCGGAGGAGCCTGGAGCCCGGCCAGGCCTGGAGCAGAAGACCTTGCTGAAGCAATCCAGCTTTGGAGAATTCAAGTACTACAGCGCGCGGGAAGACAGCTCCGAGGACGAGCTCTCGCTGAAATCCCAGCGCTCCATGGAGGAAGAGGACAACTTCGGCAGCGAGCAGGACCTGCTGCTCCAGTTCCCGGCCATGACCAAGTCTTTCTCCGCACCG